ATGGAGTGTCCCTCTCCTCAAAAAAGCAAGTTGTTTTTCACAAAGAAAGCATGATTAACTTATTATCTGATAATTAAGAGAACCTGATAAATATACTTTATACTAAAAATCCATAACAGACTAACAAATGAATAATGAAAAATGTGTCTCCTTTTCAATTACCACTGCTTCAGGCTGACTGCAGACGGGGCTTGTCTTGATATCTCTACCACTGTTTCTTGAGGTGATCCAAAATTCTAGAAAATATACTGGACCTTTTCCTAACAGCCAGGGATCCAGATACAAAGTCTGAAATATTTTTATTTCCTGTACTGTTCTGTTTTAAGCAGGGATTCACGTGAACTGCCCTGAAAGGAAAAATATTTGTACCTTCCTTCCGAGCTTAGCCTGTCTGGCTTTGGAATGCTTTTTAATTAAGCGGCACCTTTTGTCACAGGTACAGATGACAAATTTACTGCCTGAAACACCAGTGACAAAGCAACCAGGGCAGATGCAGAGCCCAGCAGTGTCAAGCATCACAGGTTTCAGAGCCTAAATTCCAGATGTAATTGCCTACCAAAATAAGTCATCACTGCTGCACCCACTACTGCTAGTTCTCACTCTGTTCCTCTCACCTTCTTTTAGTGTCCAATTTTGGAACAAGCTTTATGCTTAGAAGGACACTGCGTCCTTCTGGTGAGTTTATCAGTTTTAACTAGTAGTAACCTGTATTGATTTTGTGTTGGAGCATGAGCTGAATAAAACATAATTTTAGTTTCCTACATGAAAAGCACTGGCTCACAGAATGCCTGTACAAGTTTCAATGCCTCCCTAGACAAAAAGAATTCTTTTAAAAATTCTCAAAAATATAACAGGTGCACATCAAAACATTTGTTACCTTCTATCTCTTTGCCAAGGGCTAATAAGAGATAACTAAGGAAAGTTAATGCCCATCCCACTCTGTTTCCTCACAGGGGAAAATACACAGCCCAAATTATATGTGTGGTGAATTTGTGATCCTGAAATGGGCACCCTGCAGCTGAATTTAGGCTCGCATGCTGAAGAACAATCAACAATGAAGTTTACATTAGAACAAAACCAGTCTAATTTATCAAGCAAAAACAATCTATTACTTCTCTTCTGTCAAAGTGTATTTGATATCAGTGACTCCCACATACCAATTAACACCTCACTTCACTGAAGGTGAGAGCTGTTTGTTGCTTTTGTACACTTGACTGGAAAGAAGTCATTACACACATAACAGTCACTATAAAATTGATGATGATTTAGCAAATATTGCATGAAAATGGTAAAAATGAGAATAGAAATATTATTATGTACACATGTAGCTATAGTGAAGACAAAAGATTTAAGAATGTCATAATTTTCTTCTTCTAGTACTGTCAGTTTATGACCTTACAGAAATGTGCCTTATGAAAGAAAAACTATCAACAGCTACTTGCATACAGCAAGATCATGTAACAAACTTTTGAGAGTATAAAATCATGCTTTGATATCTCAGTATTTTCCATGTATTTTTACTTCTTTTTTTTTTCCTTATCCACATCCAGAAATACAACACAATTTATTGCTTCCACTGAATAAAGAAAAGGAAATAAATGTGCTTTTGAATAACGTAAGTAATGCAGAAAATGGGACACGTTCTGGTGGGAAACTGTGTCTGTTGTATAAATAAAATATAAGCAGCTATAAATATAATATGTAATACTCGTTCCAAACCATAGTCACCTCTTAAGAAATAAACACTCAAGTCAAAGCAGGGTAACAGACTGGCAGTGCACTCCTGGCGTTTGTCAGGAGCATTCACCAGGCTGACAGTAATATTAACCACAATCCATTTCAGTTGCTTTGGTTTATCATTGTGTGACTGATGTTCAAAACAATGCCATAAGAAGCTGCTTAAATAAAGTGTTGGTTTAACCTATACACTGCAGTTCTTTAAATCTCTACTAACTGTGGACTTCTAGCTCATACATTAACAAAACTGTTACTCATGTTTGACACTTTATGATACTTAACTTTAACTTGTAATTTCTAAAGAAAGAGGAAAAAAAAGAGAAAAGAAAAAGTATTCTTTTTTATTTTTCTTAGGTACCAAAAATATTACAAATATTGAACTGACATCCTTTCTGCCAAACCAAAATCTAAGTTTTCCTTTTCTTTACTCAGTGGGAGCACTAAATTGTGATGCATCTCTGGACATGGATAAGGAAAAGAAATAAAGTAAAAGACTGTTAAAAAGTAAACACTGTTAAAACCATGTTAAAAGTTAAATGAAATATCTTTAAATATTTTTAAAACATTTAGCAGTGCAAGCATAGACATGCTACAACACATAATTAGCACCCTATTTTAAAGCGTTACCCCCAAAATAACAGTACTACAATGAAAATATCATGATCTACATGACTTTCAAACATTTTCATAGTTGAATATTAGCAAGGCTTTTCAGATATTTGCCATGAACGCATCATCCGACACAAAGTTTAACATTTAAACTACATAGAGGTGATACTGCTAGAAATGCCTAAACAGTAACCAAAACTTGAACTGCTGTATCTGAGACAGGTAGGGGACAAAGACTTTCATTGTGTATATGGGAAGGACTGGCATTCATCCAGAACAGCACTCACATTTTCAGAGATCAAGATGCACCTTCTGATCAACAACATTTAACAGAACACAAGGGAAAAGGCATGTTAAATATATATAAATATTCACTATTCCCTAACAACAGGGGCACATCTCTGCCAATCGGCTGTTTAAGATTAATAGCTCCCCAAAATAGCATGTTACAGCTTAAATAATATTAATGCAACTCCGTCTACTCTTCATACAATATGACTGACATCTAATACTGTACTAGTTATTTCCTGTATTAAATTCATAGTTTTCAAACATAGGATTGAGAGGATTAAGTATAGATACAGATACAACCTAAGTAAAGTCCTCTATCAGTGACAGCTATGTAAAGATACCCTCAGAACTTAAAGTATACTTAGTAATCCTCAAAGACTACTTTCATGAACAGAGAAATCCATATAACCAGGCACTGGTAATAAAAAAACACAGAGAAAAAGAGTGGGTTTGCTATCCAATTTCTTAATGGGGGCAAGAGCAGTACCTAATCTACAATGAGGAAAAATTGCTCTACACTGCACTTGGTTCTATTTCAGGGTGGAGGAAGACAGACTAGAACTATAGTCCTGATGTATTGGTTAGTTTACAAATTTAAATACAATTAAATGGAAAAGCCTCACAAGTGCAGCAGCTGGAGAATCCCTTTTTTTGTCTTGAAACATGTTAGCAATGACGTGATATATGCAGAAGTGTCATTTAACAAAAGTTAATGGAAAATGAAGTTGCAAAAGTCAAGCCATAATCAAGGAAATTATTAATGATTAATACATTTAATTTATGTACTAATTCAAGCTACACAGAGCTGATGTTACTTTTAAGTTTTCAATTTTCACTTAAGTGTAATTCACGAGTGTAGTCTGGGTTGGTGAAAGATATTTTCAGTGGCAAACTACCCTCAGATATTTTTTAGCCTGGGGATTACTAAGAAATCATTTATTAATTCCACAACAAGAAATTATTTTACAATATTATTTACATTCGAAAGATTTGTTAAAATATAAAGTATGTGTAGATTTACCCACAAATATGGATTTGTGTCAGTCAGACATTCTTAGAAAGCATACAGTTCATGACTTACTCAAATAACGCTATTAGAAAATGTTACAATGACAGTACCTCAGTATATCTCTGCTTTGGACTTAAAAACTTTATTCTTTTAATTTATTAGTATGTACATATACACGCACAAAAGGTAGGATATAGTCTTCAAATACATATATGGATATATATACACATATATATATTTGATTACTATATAGTACCTTTTTAAGGTTAAAATATTAAATCTGTAGTAAAAAATATAATTAATTTTCTAGAGATTTTCACAGACTTGTGTTTAGCCTAATCAATTGCGAACTGAAAGCAAGAACTTTTTAAAACTACCTTACTTCTTTAGGAATTTTACATTCTACCAAATTACCAATTTGTATTGAAGACTTTTGTAAAAAAACAAGCTATAATTAAAATACGTTCTTCACCTTTTCCACTAATTAACTATATTGCTCCATGTGCCAACTTTTCTAAAAGCTAGCTTTTAGAAAAAGATCCCATTTGATGATCGGTGCACCTAGTCTTTGTAGAGAAAATGAGAGATGCTTCTACTTTGTAACATGAAATATTCCTTTCTTGGAGAAGATTGAAAGAAAGTAATTACATTCTATAAAGCTGTAAACAGGCTGTATAATACTGTATCTGCATACGCTTGTTTGGGAAAGAACCTTAGAAAAACAAGGCTACCCTGCCAGAAAGGAGTTTGGAAAAGTTGTTAAAAACTAACAATGTCAGTCTGACAAAGGACAACTGCGTTACTTGAGCGTAAGTGAAAAATTGGAAGTTTCTACTTACGGGAATTGGTCTGACAAAGGACAACTGCGTTACTTGAGCATACCTGAAGGGGATACACAGAGGAAGTGAAAAATTGGAAGTTTCTACTTACGGGAATAAGGGCAATGATTTAGAAGTACTTAAAATCTAATGGTGTCACAGGCTTTGATACTAAACCAGCACAATTCTCATCCGAAAAAAACAGAAAATTATTTGGCTAATTTTTAAAGTTTAGCAGCCTCATCATTCCTAGCTTCATTAAAATTTGAAATTAAATGTAACACATATGCTCCAACTAAGAGCACCTTCCATTAACAATTATTAAATTGTCAGAATCAGAAGCAATAAGAATACATCAATAATTCATTTTTCCACAATCTGATCCCCATTATCAGTATACGTATATAGAAATGAAACACTGTTAATGGTTGTGCATTTAACATTGATGTATCAAACGCAGCAGAAAACATTAACAAGACTGAAAGCTACTGTGATAAATACTGGAGAGAAAAAAAAGTCTATTTGATGCCAAATACCTTTGACAAATCCCTGAAGTTGCTAGGAAGTGTAAGGTCCAACTCCTCTGATTCATAGTTGGTGATAACCCAGGGGAAGACAGGGTACTGATTTAAATCATTGTAAGTTCGCCCTGACAAACAACAATAAAAAAAACACACCATGAGTTAAAAGAATTATATTTAACTAAAATACCAACCTCTGAAGATACAACGATATAATTTTATGACCTCTTCAAAAGCACTGTAATTTATTTCAGGTCTTTTATAATTTCAATATTCTACCTTGCTTTATTGAAAAGGATAATGAAAAAGTTCACAAACTGCTAGTATTTAGTTTAAAACATAGCAGTCCATTTCACTTTAATTGTAAACTCTTTTGCATACAGTAAGAGTGACAGCTAAATCCATTCATTTTCTATGCACTTTTCTTTTTCTTGTTTATGTCATCTTGTCTTCTGTTTCTTTAAGGTGAAACACTTCAAAAAAGGGAGAGGCAATAACTTTTGTTGATATTAAAAATTAAAGCAATATTGTTAAATACTGTATTAAATTCAATATGCAAAAACAGAATGATGCAGCTCAGGATTTTAGATTGAGAAATTATGTGAGTAATAAACATTTTATTTAGATAATCCACTTGGAGAGGAATTCCTCTTTGACCATTGACCACCTATGGACACGGCAACATTTACCAGAACAGAAAATCTGCTCTGTTTTTAGGTTTACACATGCACCTTCATGCTTCTGTAAGATGGAAATAATACACTTCTTCCAGTAAAGACAAAATATTCAATTAGAATAATTGTATGCCATACATACACATATACCACGTACCCTGGTTTATAATTTTAAAATGCATAATTCTTAGACAGATCCTGTCTCTTTTTATTACATTGTTGCAGAAGCTCATTCATTCACATCATCTCCAATTGTACATTCTCAGATTTTATCTAGCCTGGTCTTGTAAGTCTCAAAGGACAGGTTTTTACTTCTTCCCCAGGAATATTATTTCACAACACAATCCGTCAGGTTGTCAGAAAACATTTTCTAAAACTCCACCTAAGTTTTTCTTTTTCCAGTTTCCTTACACTATTCAGTATTTTTCCATCCTGGTTTGCAGAATTTTTAAATGGTAGAGTTAGATCCTTTCTTTCCCCGATCAGTTGGTTATGTTGCACATTATCTCTTATTCAGCATTAAGGCTACTTACGTGACACTGTGATGTCTACCTTTATTTGTTTCAAATTGATAGCCATCACGACAATCTTTTAACTCCCCATCACGGGCAACTAAACCTTCCCTTTTCCCATAATGTTATCCTTTTGTTTCTTTAGATCTCAAATATCAAGTAGGTAAGAATTCACTTTATAATTTCAATAATATATTAAAGCTGAAAAGGATCATTCACTAGAGCCACAGAAAACCGTGTCATGATCTTGCCTCATTCCACTTTGACAGTGAGGAGGCAAGCAGATCTATTACTTTCATAAAATCTGCCAGCATCCTAGTATCTCTGACTTAGTGACTGATTATAGAAACTAGCAAAACTGACCATTTGTATAAAATGTAATTAGCGCAAGCAGAAGCATTTGTTATATCAATCATGTTAGCAAAAGCCAAGTCTGAAAGGGAATTAACAGACCTTTCAACACCACAGAAAAGAGCTGAAAATTGAGAAATTTTGTAAGTTGCTTTGAGAACAAAGTATGTTGGAAAATAAAAGAGAGGTCATGAGACCTAACAATTAGCCTCCATTTACTAAGCTGAAGTCAAGTTGGTTAGAAGCTAACGGGGTAAGATGGGTTACATGAAATAAAGCTTAGCATTTACAGAATGAGGGGTTAAGACAACCATATAGGGGTATGAATTAGGATTTGGGAATGAATGAATGAATGGTGCCCTGGCACAGCAGCACTGGTGATCTACAGGCACTACACTCTTTTCTGAGACCAACCATACATCTCGTAACAGTACTATTTATGGGCTCCAGGAATATCCTGCTCCCCAGCTGAGACTTCCCAGAAGGTTCCAGCCCTACAGAAAACTTGCTGCATCAGCGGTATTTAGGGAGGATAGTACTTATGAATATTAAAACCAAGGAATAAAGAAGTTACTATTTCTGAGACTCTCCTAAGTAGTAGACAGCCTGTGTAGATCCAGTCCTCCCACAACAGTCAAGATATTCTGACTTTAGAGATATATTTTAAGTGCAGTTCAGTACAGCATTAAGAATTGCAAGCACCTCTGTTCTTAAATAAACATAAAAATAATTATGAATAAATTATATTAGGAGGGTTTTGTGAAGTTGCTCTTCAGGATGAAATTCTACATAGAAAAAATTATTTATTAAAAGGGCAAAACCGAGTAGTGTCCCATATCTGTTGAGACTGCGCCACCATTAACTCCTTTTCTGAGTCATTACAGTAATTTGTGTTACCTGCTATAGTGTTTAGAAACATCAGGTATTCAAAGTTGGAAATTTCTCGGTGTTGCCATCGCTGGGTCATATTGGAAGCTCTGAAAATCTGTCGTGGACTAGCCAAAGAAATGCGTCTAAAAAAAAAGAAAAAATCAGAAAAAACAATGAGAAAACCTGGTGCGTCTTCCTCTTTACCTATCTGAATTTTAGTGGCAGTTGTACATATTCTTTTTTACTACTTCTATGCTAGATTTCTCTGGGGATCAAATTGTTATTTTGGATACTTGAAGTTCATTTTTTAAGTTTTATAATCTAATACAAAGAAAAGACTTAAAACATCTGACAGCTGGATACGTCAAGATTTGAAAGCTTTCAAACAGAAACCTTCACAGCTGTGCAAATTCAGCTGCTCCATGAAGGCTTGATGTATTACAGAAATATGTTACTAGTGATTTAGAGAGATGGCAGACCATTAAATAAGAAAATTACATGACTTTCAGAATTTCACATAAGAATAAAGTAATCTTTTAGGAGAGGTTTTTAAATCCCTCAAGAACAAAGGAAAACAATGATAAGATGATAGAACTTCATTATGAAGCCCATCCTCCTGAGGTTTAAGTTCTGGACAGTGTTGGGAAGTTAGTCATAAATAACTCAAACTTCTAGAATTTGATGCCAGATTTCCTAATGTGTGTGAAAGAAGACTATAGAGTCATTCCTTGGAGTGATAAATCAAGCAGAGAGGAGCTTATCATGAAATTCCCAAGACTGTTTTGTTCATAATAAAAACATCTGTAAATACCAGAATCACATCATTTAGGGGGGAAAAAAAAATCTAAATACAGTTTTAGTTAACAAATCTTTACAGGTATCAGTAAATAATTAAAGAAAACAGTTACAGTAACTTAATTTTTTTTGTTTTAATAAACTGCATTATATTGTAAACAAAAAATGGATGTGAAATTTTGAACAAATATGTTGTCTATACTTTCATGTGTATTTAAAAATTTTCACACATAATTTGCTTCTGTAAATAGAAATCCTTCAGTTCTTACAGCGTGGCTACAATTGCAATTCAAGAGAATTTTTTCTGGACTTGATAAAAAAAGGTAAACTACAAAACACAACAGAAAACATCCCCAACTATTTTAATGCCATTTCTGTGCACAGAAATCTTTAAAAAATTAAAATTTAAAGTAACAACAGTCAAAATACTCTTTAAGGGTTGCTGTTTCTTCTAAAAATTTAGAAAATTAATCTACTTAAAAATAGACTATAATTCATTAAAATACAAGAAGTAACCAATCCAACTAGAGCTGGGGTATACCTCAAAAACTTCTATTCCCATCAGCCTCAGTGAAAATTAAACTGTGCTGTTGTGTTTCATCCAGAGCATATCTGGGAAACAAACCTCAACCTTCTGCTAAAAAAGATGTAGCAAACTGAATCATATTCTTCAATTTTAGGATCTAAACACACAGCCTGACATTGTAATACTAATTTCTCACTATGTAAAATTTGAAGAACATCCTCCAGAGCTAAAAGACAAGCACACCGTACCAATCCTTCACATGCTGCTCAGCTTCTATTGTTCTACACATTCGGAATGATCATTTTCATCTATGTTTAAATACTACAGAGGATTCAAGGATGTTACAGTCAAGCTAATATAATTGAACACTGCCATAAAAACTAATCAGTCCTACAACCAGTCTTAAATCAGTCTTAAATTTTAGTGACTTGGCAAGCATAAAGAAACCTATTTTCCTTAAGTAGGGTAAGTGCTTGAGTCTCACTGCCAAAAAGAAGCTATCTTCCCTACAACAGACAGAAATCACAAATCCAAAAGTTTTTATTATACAAACACATTGCAAATAGCACGCAGAAGTGATAGGCTGAGGATGTGCATGTTTTGTAAACCCATAGGCGTAAATGCTTCAAACCACGTAGGCTGGTTTGATGAAAAAAGAACTCTTAGAACTGACAGATAAAATTAACTCAAATCGTAAAATACCTTGTCTGGGGTAGTCCAAAGATAGTGCCAATACCGACACGAGGTAGACAGTTAACCACTTTCTTTACTGTTGCTTGGTCAGGAAAGTTGAACATGACACCCACTGTGAACACAAGAGTTGCAATATGGCACGATTTTACACCTTTTATTTTAGGTTTTCTGGCCCAATACAATCTAACCTTAAGCTTAGGTGTTGAACAGGTAAAAGATTAGACATGTTTCCTTCAGGTTAATATAGATATTTTTTTTTTATAATTTCCAGAACTGCTTTTATTTACCACTAACAGGAATTTCAACAGAAGTTGTCACTGCTATAAATCTTACAAGGTCTATATTTGTTTTCCTTTATGAACAGAAGTTAAACCTGCATGTACAGATTGACTGTCTAGAACTGATAAAAATGTTTATATATTCATTATATCACACATTTACTAGTTTAGTTTCTAGATATTTTCAAGATATATTCTTCAAAATACTATCTCCATATTTTGTTTAAAACGTTCAATGACACTTATGAAATAGTAACCTAAAAATCTAAATAACAATCTAATTATGGTATCACCAGTGGACACTTATGACTTCACAGAGTACAACTACAGGCTCCAAAATAGGAAAGTGTTTATGCATGCAATTAATATTCTATGGGATAACAGGCACTTCAGATACGCACAACAACCTATCTCTGCAAGATATGTGTCTGAATACTTACCAGCCACGTTCAAGACCAGAGACCATTTTAAGCTCAGACAAAAACTTTTTGACTGGCATACTAACTGCATAAAACATGTTATCCTTTGAAGCATTTACTGATTTTAGGACAACGTTTCATATCATTACCAAAACAATGTTTTACATTTTTAAAGTGTTATCTTAAGACCTACTTTATTTGGTGTCTTTGTAAACAGTTTTCAAAATCTGTTTTTCAAAATTTCGTTATCAGTATAAAAGCACTAAAAGTACTGAAGAATCTTAGTTTAAACTGCAAAGATCACATAACCTGGTTTAAAATAAAACTTAAGGGGAGGAAAGAGCAGAAGAAAGTTGTCCAAGTCTCAACGCACTACATTTTAAGTGACTTGTCACAGTACGTATGTGTGTCTAATAAGGAACTGAAGAAAGGGGAGGGTGAATAAAAGCTTCATAAACAAGGTAAACCCACATTTATTTCTTAGAGTTGCACTAGGGTCTAACCGAAAGAAATTATTACTAGAAATAAAGCATGAGGGTATGCCAGTCACTGGTCTAATCCAGTAGTGAAGGTCTTTCATTATATTGTTCTTGGTGTGTATAACCAACAACTATTAGCCCTCCAAAGGGACAAAAAAAAAAAAACCATCGTGCATAACAGATCAGAGGTAGCTATGCCTTAAGCAAGAGTTTCCAGAAAATGCCAAATAAACATGAGGATATAAATGGAAGTGAGGCATTGCTAATTCCCAGTTACCATGTTTGATCACAATTCCTCATTGAAAAAAAAAATGAAAAGGAGAAACTAAATTACAAAAATATACTAACTTAAATACTGAGACACTTAATCCAAGCCCTTCTGCTATCTACACAAATCCATACCAAAAAAGACATGATTAAACAGCCAAACAGAAAGCATATGTCCCCAAAACAACACTTGCGATTCCTCTAAACTCACAGTACCTCTGTTTGCCATGAATATCTCCAGTGCTGTGTTTTGCAAAAGGTAACGTCGGGAAAAGATAGATCGAATCTCTGAAAAGAGCCATTTTCCATGGAGTCCTTCTGTATATGCCAGAATCTAGTAGAAAGAGACAAATATGTTGTCAAGCACAGGTAATATCTTGTAAAAGAGAAACTCTTTGACCCATGAATATGGATTCTACCAATTACATGCAAAGCCTGCAGCAAAATTAAAATATGCTCAAACTTCAAATCATGCTATGAACCTATAATGGATTTTTTGAAGTCCTAAATTCAACATCAAGGATTTTAAAAATCTCCTTGGTTTTTTTCCTTTAAAGACAACCGCCTATTTTCCACAGTCAAGGGAGTTTCAGAAACATTATTAAATGTTTGGCACTAGCAAAGCATAAAACCATATTCTGAAAGGTATTACTAGCGCTGTTAGATGTATCTGCACTCACTTTAGGGTTGTAATAATAGGCCTGTAACAAATAAGCAAGAAAAAAATGTCTTTAAAGAAAAAAAATGTTCCTTACATTTATCGTTAAGGCAACATTCATTAATTCTGGAACTATAAAGGTTGGCTGTATAAGAGGTTAAGTATCATTTTGTCAGCTAAGGTTAAACACAAACCTGCAAATGAACTCAGCATAATCTCTCTATGGAGTAAGCGGTTGTCAAAGTAACTTGTTACAATTCCTGTCATCCCGTCTGACAGACACAGATGCTTAGTCTGCCTGCACAATTCAAACTAATCCCATTTTCAGTCCTCAGCCACTTTGTTTCTTTGTTGCTTCACTTTTCCCTTTTTATTTCAAAGCTCAATTATATAAGTGCTAAGGGACAGTGAGATTGGACACTTCTCTGCCTCAGATTAACAAAACATTAAGCGAAGGAAAATCTGAGATTTGTCAATTTTAGCAAACACAAAAGTTCTTACCAGAAATCCATCACAGAAAAAGAGATTCAGATATAATCCTGGTTAACATCACTCTTACTACAATTTCACTTGAGCAATATATTGCATATAAAAAAGAAAAAGTGAAATTCAAGCCTCTAACATAACAAAGACTGTTAATGAACCCAATCATTTGTTTGTAGATTTTTAACAATGGAGGATTTTGCCTCCCATGTAGCATATATTCACAGATAACCCGCAGAGAGAGCAGAAACACCATTAAAAAGCACTACACGATACAGTATAAAATACTGTACCACCTTTGTAAATTCAAAGCAAACAAGACTGGCAAACCAAAAGGAGATAGCACTGAAGATCAGAACATACAAAGCAAACCATCTCCTGCACCTTCTTTCTTTTTCCTTAATCCCTCATCTTCCCCTCAATACAAGTGCCAGACAACTTCTCTCCCAACACCCCACACACACTCAGAGAAAGAGAAGGAAAAAATGAATATTTATTCTGATACAAAATTCTAGATGAAAGGACCAGAGACTGTCAATGGTTGCTAATCATTTCTGGAACTGGGGAACTAACAGACTGGGGCCACACTGACACTTTCCATACCGCATCTATAACCCATCCACACTAATTGGCAGATTTGTATAATTCTATGGTGCTATTCAGAACCACCGCGGTTGGCTTTTGTCACAGGCATATAAATATCCTTTAAAGAGCGCAACATGAAAAGAGGTGACAAAGGAGACAAAGTTGCAGTGCTCGTGTACAAAAATCTCTTGGTACTTTTGCTGGTTATTCACCCACCTTACGGTCTTTAAATTGGAGCTTATCATCTCAATTATTATTTTTTGAGACAGACAGGAATGCGATGACCGTCGCGTTTCTGTAGTAACAATTAGAACGCAACAGCCTGCTTGTCGCTGTCAGGCTGTGCATTGCAAACTCAAACCCTTACTATGCGAAAGCTGGGAGTAAATCCAGTGAGTTAAATAATTAAGCATTATTTCTACCCTGAGAAGCAAGAGGTTTTGGTGCCAGTGGAAACGCCGCACGCGGCCAAACGCTTGCTGCGTGCAACGCCTTCGAAACGGGAAGGAGAAGCACCGGCGTGAAAATCGCAGCGGTGGTTTACACGGTGTACCTCCTACAGCCCCGATAAAGTCACTGAATTCAGTATCACGGGATTTACAGCAGAAACTGGAGCTGCGCTGCAGAAACACTACCAGTCACCACCATAACAATTCTTTAAAGCACTCATTAACACAAGTTATCAGGAGCGGGAAGCAGCTGAGGCCTAGCGCAGCAAGGCCTTCATTTCGGGTTGGAATAGTGGCTGCCTGGTCTGCAGCTTCACTTCAAAGTCTCTGGAGTTCAATTAAAACTGGATTAGGTGGAAGCAGACCTTCTTTGGGACACTCTGTTCTCTGAAACTCCCGGCACACTGACAGCACCCTAGACAGAGGTCTAGCCCGCCAATGAACCAGTTGCTATGGCAACTGCATCATTACCACTGCTCCCCGCTCATCACACCACCTATAGTAGATGAAAGGTCCAGAAGACAAACACGTTTCTTTCATGTGTATTACTAAGTATTCCTTATGAAAATCCAATTCAACCTTTTATTCCCTGTCGAACGCGTGATTTTAGTAATTTAACTGCCTAGTCGCAGAAACTGACTCGTACTTCGAATTTTTAAATTCAGCATTTTTACTCTGGCAAAGGGATTTTTTTTAAATTTTTTTAATCAGTGTTACCACTTCTGATATTATCAGAATTACAACTTTCAAAAACTATTTCTGCATTTGCCTGTGTTCACCCCAAAGCCACACAACACAAAATTCTACTTAAGAATGTAAGAACAACTACCTTCTTCATACTATTGTACAATATGTGTAGTTTAAAAATTACTCATTTATTTCTGGTTTTTGTCACCACCAATTTTGGAATAACTTGTGGAGCAAAGACTAATGAGGGTGTACTATCTAATTCAATCTGCACAAATAGTACCACCTTCCCCACATGAAAAAGCATTTATAGACTTTCAGCTGATTCGACACATCAGATGGAACTTTAATCTACTGCACATTTCATTTATTTCAAAAGATACTGCACCTTTCACAAGGAACGACATTTTATAGTTTACCATTTCATTTAAAAATACTTAAACAAATGAGCCAATCATAAAGTTCTACAGTTCCAAAAATTTCATTAGACAAACTGCTCCGTGATCAGACTTTGGCAACGCCAGATGAACAGATGGCATGACAACACTACTAAAAATACAAAATTACTTTCACCTTTGCATGAAGTCCCTTCTTTACTTCAAGCAACAGAAATTAAGGTCTGAACTTATATAATCAGTCCACGTGCTCATGCTGCAGGCCCTGACACTGCAGGGCTGGAAAAAACTCCCCAAGGAACTAAAAGGAAAGAATAGCCAGCTTCAATTTCCACTTTGAGGAGATTCTGAAATCAGAGTTGCATGAAAACTCAGGTAGCATAGTGCTGATCATGAATTATGATCATACCTGAAGAAGTCCTCTCCTCACAATTCATAGTTGCATATCACCTAATTTCCCAACATTAAAACACTCACTCGAAAGCTATTCTGTCATTTTAAAGTTTTGAAAACAAACACCCCATCCTACCTTTTCTTCAAAACCCTCCTTGAATGTTGATCATAAACAATGTCTCTCATAAAAGATTACATGCGATAGTTAAAAGATACCATCACTACAGCTGCATCCTGAATTAGAAAAGTAATATTTTACTGAAGATTAAACAAAAGTTTTGCTTTACCTTTTAAGCAAACCAATCAGCTATCGTATATTTTATTTTATTTTAGAGAAAAGTACTATTGATCTTGAAAATGTGAATAGACTAGAAGTAATTAAGTCTGCAAATGGGTTATAGAACTGAAACAGTAATTGAATAATTATATTACTTTAATGTGCCAGCTAACTTAACTGCCATGAGTAAATAGCTTACTTAAAAAGCTGATGCACATTTGTATATTTCAAAAAAAAAGTTATGATTTACCAGACCAAAAAAAACCCCAAAACACCAAATTAAAAAAATAAAGCATTTAATTTGCATTTAAATTTGATTGCAGTTGAGAGATAAAATCCATGAATAGCTCCTTCTAACAGCATTCTCTGTCATTTGGGGTCATTTTTGTTCAGGAGGGCAAAATTACGGTACTTCGAGGTTACAAAACCTGATTCTCAGTTCACGAGGAACCTGGATCTGCACCACAATCTCAGCCCTGCAACTGAGGATCCTCACAACCTATTGTCCAGGTCCTATTTAGTACCTGGCTGCAGGATTCACGGTGAAAGGGTCTTACTCCGCTCTTTGTTTAAATACGTCCAAGTACAACCAAACTAATAGGGAATTAGATCAGATTATTAATGATTTTAAATGTCCAAATGTTCTTAAATAACTCACAGTGCTTATGAGTTTATTTTAGATTTCTGAAGAGAATAACGAATACCATTTCACTTTTAAATCTCAGATATTTATACTATCAGCCACTGAAATCCACAGGCAAACAGTAGCAGCCTCCCATCCGGTCCCTCCTGTGAGCACACACAGTCTGCTAGACAATCCTGTTCAGCATTTTCATGGGTGACAAACTCAATTAAACATATTCATTACTTTAATGTTCCACCAGACAGTTTTACCCAGCATAAAAAATTTAAATAAATAAATAAATACTCAGTGACCTCTGTATCGATCGGAGCAAAATGGCTTATGCCTGGGTGTGGGTGGTGAAGGGATTGGGGAGGGGGGTGGTAAAGGACTCTTATGTTTTCTCTTCCAATTACTGGAGGAGATGATAAAACCACAGCAAATGATGTATCAGCTCATTTTATCTTATCGCTTTGGGGCTAGGTGACAATGAAGTTCATATTTCACTGGTTCCCATTGAAGATTGTGAAAATTACTTGCCCTTATGACCTGAAATTTCACTGGAAGACAGAAATTTCTCTTCTGCAAAGTAATGCAATTTTTCAGATGTCAACCTTTAGCCCAGCTTTAAAAATTAATTTCATTTATATTAACCAATGATATTGATATTTTCACAGAATGCTCTTTGATACATGAACCACCGACTAGCAAATTGATGTGCACTAGAAGGATAAAATTATTTTATCTGAAGCTGCTGGGGACAGACAGATTTACCACAAACTGAA